AGTTCTAACACTGACACCTACCTCTAGTGTCTGTGCTGCTTTTACCACAGTGTAATTCTCCAGACCCATTTGTCTTCATGCCCCCATAAGACACTCCTACTACTGTGACTTTCACAATTTATTAGATTTACACAGTTTTTATACTCCTACTTTTCATTCTTTCTTGTTCCTCTGCATTTGACAAGGGATCATTATCTTTCAGCTTGAAGAACAACATGTAATATTTCCCTAATAAAAAATAGGCAGCAACAATTGTTCCCACAATTTCTCTAAAATGTTTTGATTCAACCTTTGCTTTTCAAAGTATCTATCTGTGTGTCTATGTACGCCATATAGATATGTTTCTCACTATGTTGTTCAGGCTGGCTTCAAACTCTTAGGCTCAAGCAATCCTTCTGCCTCAACTTCCTGAATGTCTGAGAATTGAAAGATGTATCACGGCACCCAAATTGATTTTTTTTTGGTTGAATTTAGAATTTTAAGTAACCAGTTACTTACATGGTAGTTAATCTTTTTTTTTTTTTTTTTTTTTTGTCAATGTGACACAAACTAGGGTCTTCTGGGAAAACAAATCCTCTATTGAAAAAAAAAAGCCTTTATCAAATTGGCCTGTAGGCAAGTCTGTGGGGGCATTTTCTTGATTAATGACTAATGTGGGTGGGTCCAATCCGCTGTGGGTGGTGCACCTCTTGGCAGGTGGCCATGGAGATCAAGCCAATAAGCAGCTTTCCACCACAGCCTCTGCTTTAGTTCCCACCTTGAGTTACAGCCCTGACTTCTTTCAATGATGAACTATTATTGGGAAGCATAAACCAAATAAACCCGTTCTGCTCAAGTTGCTTTTGGTCAGCATGTTTTTATCACAGCAAAGAAAACAAACTAAGATGCTTACTTTCAGGACTTAGAAGGCTTGTTTTCAGTCTTCAGGTCCAGCCCTTCTTCTGAAGAGTCAGTGTTCATTTTATTGTTTGCACTTTGAAGGCCATTTTCATTTGGCTGCTTCCAGGATCACTTTGTTGCTTCATTTTGTCTTTTTCTGCTTGGTCTTTACAGTTCCCCTTAATTTTTTTTCAGTGCTGGGAATCTGCATATGGCTTTGCACATACTAGGCAAGAACTATACCATTGAACTACAGTCCCAGTTCTTGACTTTTTGAGACAGGGTCTTGTTATGTAGCCTAGGCTGCCTTGAAATGTGATTCTCCTGTTTCAGGCTCCTGAGTGCTAAGATTACAAATATGTACCACCACGTGAGACTTTATATAGTGCTTTAAATTTTTTGAGATTTATTTTTATTTCATGTTGTATGGTATTTTGCCTGCATGTATGTCTGTGTACCATATGTGTGCAGTGCCTATGGAGGCAAGAAGACAGTGTTGTATGCCCTGGAGCTGGAGTTGTGGACAGTTGTGAGCCACTGTGTGGGTGCTGGGAATTGAACCTAGGTGTCGGCCGATTTTTCTGTCCTGCCATCCAGCTCCCAAATCACAACATGGAGACTTATTGCTAATTATGAAAGCTTGACTTGTATTGTTTCTAACTAGATCTTCTTATAACTTAAATTAACCCATTTATATAATTTACTTTCTGCCTCATGGTTTTATTAGCTCATCTCCGTATTGCCCATCCTGCTTACTCTGGATGTGGCTGGTGACTCAGTCCTTCTTTCCAGTATCCTCTGTACCCCAAAAATCCTGCCTAGCTATTGGCTGTTCAGTTTTTTACTAAACCAATCTGAGTGACACATCTTCACAATGTACAAAATGATTATTCCACAGCACCCAGGTCCTCTGGAAGAGAAGTCAGTACTCTTAACTGATAAGATATCTCTCTGGTTCATATGATGACATACTTTTTTTTTAATATTTATTTATTTATTAGGTATACAGTATTCTTTCTGCGTGTATGCCTGCAGGCCAGAAGAGGGCACCAGATCTCATTACAGATGGTTGTGAGTCACCATGTGGTTGCTGGGAATTGAACTCAGGACCTTTGGAAGAGCAGGCAGTGCCCTTAACCTCTGAGCCATCTCTCAGCCCCATGACTTACTTTTAATCTGATAGTTTGATTGTCTCTCTGTGTGGATACAAATGTGTGTTCATGGAGATAAGAGATCAACACTGGGTTTCTTCTTCATTTGTTCTCCATCTTTGTGTTCTTTAACACTTTATTTATTCATTTGTGTACATATGTGTAGGAGCACTTGAACGCCACAACATACAGGTAGAGGCCATAGGACAACTTGCAGGCATCAGTTCTTTCTTTCTGCCATGTAGATTCCAGAAACTTTGCTTGTATCATCAGGTTTGGCAACAAGAGTTCGTATCGGCTATGTTATGTCACCAGCTCTGTCTCTCAAACTCGGAGTTCTCAAATTCTGCTAGACTAGCTAGCTAGGAAGTGTCAGAGGGTCCTCTTGTGTCCTCCTTCCCAGTGTTGGGATTACTAGCATGTGCCACCACACCCAGCTTTTCCACTAGGGCTCAACTCAGGTCACTTTGTTAACAACCATCTTCCTGGCACCTCAAGCAGATCAACTTCTAGGACAGCCAGGGCTCCACAGAGAAACTTTGTCTCAAAAAACTACTACTAGCTGGGCGGTGGTGGCGCACACCATTAATCCCAGCACTTGGGAGGCAGAGGCAGGTGGATCTCTGTGAGTTTGAGGCCAGCCTGGGCTACAAGAGCTAGTTCCAGGACAGGAACTAAAAACTATGGAGAAACCCTGTCTCGAAAATTCAAAAAAAAAAAAAACAAAACCTACTACTACTACTATTACTACTACTACTAGGGTCAGGCATGGTAGCAGATGCTTTTAATCTCAACACTCAAGAGGAAGAGGCAAACAGATGCCTGTGAATTCTAGTACAGACTGATCTACATGGCAAGTTCCAAGTCAGCCAGAGCTATATATGGAGACCCTGTCTCAACAATAATATTAGTTAGGATAGTAGTACACATTTTTATCCTGTATCACCACCAATTATTAACATTTTACCTAATTTGCTTTACCTCACATATTATGTGCACTCTTTAAACTTAAGAGCCATTTTGACAAAAACCTTTGATCCCAGACATGTCAGCTAAAATATGAAAGGAACAAGTTCATCTCCATTCCCACTGTGACGCAGTCCAGTCATTTATCCACCTTGGATCTGTCATTGATAGAATTTTAGTACATTTTCAGGTTAAAAATTTCCCCGTCTGCTCTGTGTGATTGATCATCTTTTTCTGACCCAGGATCCATTCCAACATCAATTAATAACCCATTGATGATTCATTAGCTTGAGCTTCCTGGAGTGGAGGGAGTGTGTTCTCTTCTGTCGGATGGCGTATACCTACCTTCACTCACTCGGGGCTTGAGATTTGAACTTCAGTTCCTGTGAGGGTAGTTCAGTTTCTGTCTCACCCTCACTTTCAGGGTATAGCTGTCTAATGTACGGAACCTGATCCTCAGCTTCTGTCCCACAATCCTCATAAGACTGTTCCAACTTCACAGCTTCTTGGCCACTGCTTCCATCACTGAAATTCTCCAGCTGTAAATGCCTGTCTCACCATCAGAGAAACTGTTTCCCAAGCCGTGACCCCAAGGATCCTGCCATCACTGCCTGTTCTAAGGAAGCTTAGTCTGAAACAGCTTCGCTCCCACTACTGTCTCTCTCTTTAGTTTCAGCCTGGACCCTTTCCTGTTACTTCAGCTTTTAGGTTATTGAAAACGATCCACTCACCATATTGCATATTGGCAGTTTTCTCTGGAGTATTTTTTTTTTTTTTTGGTTTTTCGAGACAGGGTTTCTCTGTGGTTTTGGAGCCTGTCCTGGAACTAGCTCTTGTAGACCAGGCTGGTCTCAAACTCACAGAGATCCGCCTGCCTCTGCCTCCCAAGTGCTGGGATTAAAGGCGTGCACCATCTGGAGTATTTTCTATCTCTGCATTGTTCCTAGAACATTTCTGTGCATTCGTGGAATTTTTTTATCTTTACCCCCCACCACCTTTTTTTTTGGCATCTGTAGCTCAGGCTATCCCAATCATTTCTGTTGGGTGTTGTGAATGACCAACATTGATGCCTTGCTATCTGCTGCTTCTATTCACTACTTGATATTCACTATCTTACTTTTGCTTGCTTTGTACTTAATAAACTCACTAATTCAGAGGAAGAGTACCTCATTCTTCATACAGAAAGTCCTACCAGGTAGCATCCAGACGTCATCTATGACTGAGCTTTGTATTCAGTCACTGAAGAAATGCCACATGGGCTCTTGACTTTCTGATCCTTGAATAAGGGTTATGACATAAGAGCTTTCATTTCTCCACCCAGAAACCTTCCCTTCACCAGCTGTCCTGAGGACCGAAGACTTAAAATCACCAATCTAAGGAACTACAAATACTAGTTGTTTGACTTTAGGAATGGTCTGTTACTGTTGGTGTCAGGGAAGGACTACATGAGAAAGGGGTTTTTCACGGGATCATGAAACGTGATTGCTTTTATTGTTGAGGGAACCATAGAAGTTAAAGGCATATGCTACGAGGAGTGCCAGGAACAGGGGTCGTTAGACCCTAGTTGATCTGTTTCACCATTGCTAATATCCCACTCAGCTTGTGTGCACAGTTCAAATCTAAACAGCTATTGACCTCGCCTTTCCCAGACATCTGGGATTGACCTTTGACTGTCCCCTAGAAGTGACCACTTGGCTTCTGAAGCGTATCTGACCATGCCTCTTATTCTTAAAAAATATCCTTGGGGTCCCCCTGCCCCGCAGCAAACTCCGGTGGGTCCCAGCAGTGCCGGGCGCAGGCTCTAGGGTCCGGCACCCGAGCAAGCGGCTACAGCTTCTCACCAGCGGGAGGGCACGCACGCGGCGGGTCAGACATATAAACACAGAAAATAGCCATAAATGTTTATTAAAATGGGGGAGGGAGAGAGAGAGAAGAAGAAGAAGAAGAAGAAGAAGAAGAAGAAGAAGAAGAAGAAGAAGAAGAAGAAAGAAAGAAAAGAAGGGAGAGAGAGAGGAGGAGAGAGACAGAGCCCCGTGTGTACACCGGGAGAGAACACAGGGATAGAGAGCAGTGGCAGGCGAGGTCAGAGGTTAAAAGGAGTGGGCGTGGCCAGGGTAGGGACGGAAAGAATAACAATGCCTGTTTTTCTTACAACAGCTCCAGTTCAGGAAAAAGCATAGACCCGCTCTGCCAAAGCTCTGAAATACCCTTGACTTTCTTGCCAAACCCAATCCTTGGAATAGTTCCGCAGCGCCATCTTCTGGTACAGCTTTCCACCTTCACTCCTCACGAGACTGAGTAGTGTCTGACGTGCTTTTCAAACTTCTCGTAGGCCTCCCGAGAGACCTTTCCTGGCATCACCAGGAATAATGGCCTCACCGAGACACCCAAGGCCAGTGTTCTGCCAGTGGTCGTTCGGAGATTGGAGCGTCTGAGACGCAGCAACCTGGGCGGAACTCGCCAGGGGAAGAGGCGGCGCGTGTTCTGCCTGCCCCTGCCTGGGGAGCGGTCACGTGGGTTCTACCCGGAGGCGGAACCGCTGCTACCGGGACCTAAAGGCTTGCAGATCAGGGGCGCCTGGATACCTTAGCCATGCGCCCCCGGCGCCTCGCGTTTCTAGCTGTGCTCTTGGCCGCGCCCTTGACTCTGGCTGAGACCCCATACCTGGTGCGAGTGGATGCAGCCCGCCCGCTGAGGCCTTTGCTGCCCTTTTGGAGGAGCACCGGCTTCTGGTGAGGCCCACCGCACGCTCTTGCCAAGTCTAGGAAAGCCCTTGCTCCGTTCTTTGGGTTTCTCTCATCACACCTTTGGGCTCGCTGCCCATCATTCCTGGACACTCAGGAGTGAAGATCAAATTCCTTCAGGGTGTGGCATGGGTTTTCTACTTTAGTGGCTCTCCCAAGTGCCACAGCTTCCCTAAATGCCCCCCCCCCCCCCACCCTAATCCCCGGGATCAAGAGCACGGTACTCAAGCTATAGGCTCATAATTAGTACTTCGGCAGAACCAAGGGCTCTCCCAAAGTACCAAGACCTGACCTCGAGTGTTGGGCCAGACCTGGTTTCTCAATGCCTCCAAGTCTCTCTAGGAATTTGCAGATCCTCTTCTATGGCAGGCAGATGTCCTATTAGAATGTGGTACTGTGTCTTGTTGAAGCTCCCCGACTCACCCCACCCCAAGACAAGACTGTAGAACATTTCTGGTGAAAGGGCTACTTTATCATACAATGTGGAGACACACACTGCTCCTCTGCAAGGGCCTGTCAGTCAGGTATTAAATGTGTAGAACCTGGTCTGCTGTAAGTCCCTGCTTGGGACAAACACTTCACTTCTTTGTCCTGTCCCCAGCCCCCCACTGCCTCATGACCAGGCTGACCGGTTCGACCTTAGTTGGGACCAGCAACTGAACCTTGCCTACATCGGTGCTGTGCCTCACAGTGGCATCGAGCAGGTCCGGATACACTGGCTGCTGGATCTCATCACAGCCAGGTGGGTGATACTGAGGTGGGTGCCCTGGGAGTTGCTGGTCAGAGCTTGTCTTACAGAGATGCTGAGCCCGGAAAGCTGTGGAGCACAGTGCTGGACTGTGGGTAGGGCACGGTCGGGGCTGGGACTGTACTTCCTGTTAGAGCATCCTGTTGGGCAGAAGAGGAGGGGAAGGTCTGCTTGGCTATGCCAAAGGTAGCCCTTGGATGGAGCGCAGGTGGTTTCCGTCTGAGGATTTCTTAGAGGTACAGAATGGGATTGGTGTTTCTACTGTGCCTGACTTTGTACTATACATGGGCCACGTTGTGGTCACCAGTATAAGCTGTATAGAGACATCATGCCTGAAGGTCAGGTGTACATCATCTTAGACCGTGACACTGGAGCATCTGCTCTGGAGCAGGTGACTGCCTTCGCAAGGGCCCAATCAAGATGATCACTGGGCATGAGAAGGCCTTTCGGCCATGTGTTCAGCTCATATCTCATACCTGGTGGTGCAGGGGGAGGGAATGTGCCCTTTTGGTATCTTAGAGACCGCATAATTTGCAGGACTCTGTTTCAGATAAGATGGTAACACAGACTATTGTTAAACTGGGCACTGCTTTGGCTGAGGGATCATGTGTGTGGGTGCAGCCACCAGGGGGCAGCAATGGTCTCAGATGTAGAGTGGCTCAATTACTGAATGTTTGGAATTCTTGAATGTGTTCCTTTCTTAGTTGGAGTTCCCTGACTTTTCCAGGTTAGAGGTGGTCTAAGGGTATATCTCTCTAATGACTCCAGTCTTCATAGCACTCCTACCAAGGAGGTCAGTACTGGCTTGTGGACATGGGTCTCGGTCCTGCTAAAAAGCAGAGTCAGCAGCCGCCAGCTCCTCACGGCGGGCTTGTGCAGCCTCCACGGCACTGTGTACACTGGGGAACAGGAGCTCATCCTCAGCTCCCTGGTCTTCCCCAAGGAAGCCCCCTTTCTTCAACGTGTCCCTCACTGAGGGACTGCAGCAAGCCAGAAGCAGGGTGATGTCCAGGGCCCTGTAGTCTCTGTGCAGGTCCTTCAGTGTGGCCATGCCAGCCACATCCAGGAACAGCAGTGGTGCACAGTCAATGACCACTGTGTGGAAACCGAATGCCAGGGGTACCACCAGCCCGGTCCCGCTGCTCACTGAACCCATATCCTTGCCATCAGCAAGACTGCTGTCACTGATACCCACCTCTGGGCCCTTTTTCTTCCTGGTGGCTGAGTGCCCTGCATCCAGCCCTGTGAGACTGTAGAGTGACCGCAAGAAGAAATCCTTGTTGGCATAGTAGAGTGGGCCTGTGAAACGGAACACTCGCACCTCAGGTGGGGGCAGGAGGCCCTCAAACTCGGCAGCATCCTCATAGAAGGTTGAGTCTCCAATTCGAGCAAGAAGGGCAGCCCGTGGACGCTGTGTGCGGCCCACCAGGCTGAGCAGTGAGAAGAACACCCCAGCTAGAAGTCCAGCCTCGGTGCTGACGAGCACACAGGTGGCTGCAGTAGCCACCCAGACCAGTGCATCAGCAGGGCTTAGCCGCCAAAGCTGTGGGAGGTCCTTAACCTTGCGCAGCGCCCCACGCAGGCTGACAACAATGATACAAGCCAGCACACACCGCTGCAAATCATGAAACAGTGGAGCCAGCACCAGCAGCACCAGCAACACCACAGCAGCACTGACCACACTGGACAGCTGGGTCTGGCAGCCAATGGCTGTCTTCACCAGGGTTTTGGACAGAGCAGCACTGGTGGCAAAACAATGGAAGAAGGCAGGCAGCACATTGCAGCAGCCCACGGCTAGAAGCTCTTGGTTGGCGTGAACAGCGTAGCCATGACTACGAGCAAACATCTCTGCCAATGAGATGGAGAAGGCTGAGCCCACAAGGGCTAGGGACACAGCATCCAGGGCCACACGCCACATTATCTTAGGGTCTGGTACCTGTGGGGCTACAAAACCAGTGGGAATGTTGCCGGCCACACTAGAGCCAAACCGTGAGTGGAGCTGTCCAAAGTGGGATACAAGTGTGGCCACCACAATGACTAGCAGCTCTGTGGGTACTGGCACTTTCAGACGGTGTCGGTAGCGGTCTGAGAGCTCCTTAGCCGCTATCAGCACTCCCAGGCACACGGCACTGGTGACCACGTCACATATATTGGCCTGTCCCACACTCTGCAACAAGCTGAGCCATGTGCGGATCACCATGCCTAGGCCCTGGTGCCGAGGGATCCGCACACCCAGCAGGTGTTTAGCCTGAGAGGTCAAGATGGTCACAGAGGCTCCCATAGCAAAACCGTCGAGCAGTGGTTGTGAGAGGTAGGTAGACACGCAGCCCAGCCGGAGGACACCCATGAGGACCTGTAGATGGAGTACAGTCAGTTTGGTAGGTCATGAGGCAGGAGCCAGCATCGGTATAACACAGGGTAGGGATTACAGCACAGAGCCTGGCGTCTTCCCTTGCTTACTCTCCTGAGTGGGCTCCTGCTGTTTCCACATGCACAGTGGGCCAGAAGATACAGGGAGATAACACATACATGTTGCAGTTGGCTGTGGATGTTCACTTCTCATACTCTCACACATGCAGAAATTGGTTTTGTTTCAGAATCAGGGCGTAGGCAGACCCTTCCCCTGTGCCCTGTATGCAACACACAGCTCCTTCCACCCAGCTCCCTTCTGGGCAGCCATGGAACAGACAGGAGGAATAGAGAAGACAGGATCAGCAGAAAAGAGCTAGGTGGGGAGCCAGGGGAATGCATCTCAATTCTTAGGTCCTGTTTGTGTCAGGAAGCCAAGGTGGACATTGGGGCTGTAATCTAGCTTTTCTGAGCCATGACCACATTTGGCCCAGTGGCCCCACTCAGACTACAGCTGGCCAGTCCAGCCCTACATATCTCTCCATTCTGTGACTTAAGTCCCTCTGGTACCTAGGCCTGGACTCCACCTCTCCTCTTGCTGTGCTGTTTTCTCTCTGAGCCTGAAGGATTCTTCTGTTTCTAGACTTTTCCTGATGGTAGTGACAAGCACCTGTAGGTGCTCTAAGAAGCCAAGTCAGCCGGCCTGCTTGCTATGCAGCTAACTCCTTACCTGATAAAGGCCAGTCACCAGAGTGAGGGCAGTGGCGATTCGAATGGCGTAGCAGTCCCGTCCACAGTCCTGTAGCCCAAGCACCAGTGTTGTGGTTGCGTTGTTGAGTGTGCTGCCATTGTTTCTAGGCCCTAGAGAATCCTGGGAGGGGTCAAAACCAGCCAACTGGAGTTCTCGGTCTACCACCTGACCCACCATGAGGCACAACAGGCTAAAGATGCCCACATTAACATGGCGTGAGGTGCCCATGAGGAAGTAGATAAGGTTGGCAAAGAAGGAGGTATAGAGGCTATAGATGGGCTGCAGCCCAGCCAGCAGTGAGTAGGCTATGGCTTGTGGCACCAGGATAATGCCAATGACCAACCCAGACATAACATCACCTGCCAGGTACTCTTTAGGGCGGTACTGACGCAGCCAGTGCAGGACAGGAAACAGATTCTGCACCAGAGCCTGAGCACATGGTATACTGCAGATGCAGCTCTGCTTCAACCTGGCCTTCAGTGTTTCCAGCAAACCCTGGGACACAGGAGGCTGTCGTCGGATCAGCACCAGTGTCCCACCCTTCTCTTGGGGCTCGGGAGAAGGATCCATCCTGTCCCACCACGCTCGTTGGCCAACCTGCGAGGGAGAATGGGGAGAATGGGCATGGTTAGGAGTCTAAGCTCTTGGAGTCCAGGAGCCAGCTTCACAGAGCGTATTTGTCCACCCAAACACAGACATCAGACATCAGAGGTTGTGCTTGTGTCAAGCGCTTGTTCTTCTGTGTGGATGGGTGTAAGGTCTTGAGCTCCAAAAGTTAGTTTTATGACAAGAGTGCTCACGACAGCAACGTGTTTCAGGGAGTCATTCTACCCAGCCTCAGCCCCAGCTGTGCTCTGTGGTCCACCTAATTCAGCCTCTATATTAAGTCTACCTAGAGGGTTCTGAAGGTCACCCACTGAGACGAGGGCTGGACTAGGCCCACGTACACCCAAGCCAGTGACAATGGAGGCAGATGCACGCTTGACTGAGCTTGAGCTCTAAGCCACTTCCCATCCATCTGATCTGGCAAGGGGCTTTGCCAGCCACCCCATTTCCACAGGAATTCTCCTGTGAACACCATGGGCTTGGAGGTTGGCAGAAAGCCTTGTATATTTTGTGTGCTAGGGCCCCTGGTCTATGACAACCTTCCCCGTGAATTTAGAGGGTGTCTCACCAGTCACCAGTGTATTCTGAAATAGTGTGCCCCTAACTCCGAGTGCGGAGCCTCTGAGAAGAGGTTCAACTCTACTAAACAAACACACTGGTCCACAGATGTCCACCTTTGGCCTAGCTGTCCTAGCCCCTTCTGACCTTGCCTTAGTACTGAAGAGTTCTCAGGCCATACTGACCACATGTTGGTCTTGGGTCATGTTTACTGGTTCCAAAGTACTTGTTTGTAATATTAATCAAACACTCCCTGTTCTCTTGGAACTCAGGACACGGTGGTGGCTGTTGGAGCCCATTGTGCCTGACCTGAGTACTAGGGCAGCAGCTTCATTGCTAGGGTGGTGGTCTATCAGGCGTCCTAGCTCTTGAGGAATATTACAAAAACAATGATACACAAGAGCCACTGAGCACTCTGAATCTCACCCCAAGTCTTTAGGGGCTCATGTTTATGGAGGAAGGTTTGTAAGTATCACCTTCCTTGTATCTGAGCAATCCCCAGAGAAATGGCAGTCTAGGTTCCTGTCTCTGCCCAGTAAACCACATCTTTTGGGGCCTGTTGTATGGGTACAACAGTTCTTACCTGGGATGCTTGGCCGACTCTGTAGGCTTTGCAGTATCCAGGGGCTATAGTGGGCTGAACCTTCAATCACTCTGTCTTCTGATAGCAGGCGGAGAACAACGTTGGCAGGCACCTCTGAGGCTGACCTGTGGGAATACTCTGCTGGGCTTGCTGTTAAATTATTTACCCCCCAAATAGCTGAGTCATGGGTTTCCCCCGTCAAATGAGTGTTACCTGAGCGTCTAATCCGGTGAGCTAATTCGGCAAGTTGTACTATAATCAGAGGCTCACAAATAATTATGGTTATGTGGGCTTCTGATAATCCCCCCTTTGCAGAGGGGTGGCTGCTCCAGGTGCAACAGCTTCTGTCTTGTTAAGAGGGAGAGGAGGTGGGGACAGGAGCAGTGAGGCAGAGTGTGAGGCCCCAGAGGAGCTGAGTTGAAACACTTCAGCTATGAGGTTATGGGGTCATGTACAGCTGACTCCACCTACCCAGATACTGGTTATCTTCTCTCCACCTTCATGGAGCGTGTTCTAGCTGGGGCAAGCTAAAGCTCAGAATCTGTTCCATGTCCCTGTGTGCAGCTACTGCTGTGTGTGTACACACTTGTGTGAATGAACACATGCCTGTGTTGTGCACAGCCCAAGGACTGCCAACATCAAGTTAGGTGTGTTCTTCCCTTTGCAACAGGGATCCTGGATTGGCCTCAGTTCTTGCCACCCTTGACCACCTGTGATCATTGTGAGGTACTTGGCCCCCATGTACCTCTGTAGGACGTGGGATTTGCCTTGTAAGGATAGCCTAGAGATAAATGGTCCCTTAACGTAAGCGTAACTAATCAGTGTCCTCAGACTTGAGGTATGCCTCCAAGTTCTTTCTGTAAGACTGGTCAGAACCTCAGATCCACATCTTGTAGTGAGCAATGAGGCTCTCACATGTGCTTAAGAGTAAGTAGTTTTGTGTAACAGGTCTTGATCTCTTCTGTGAGCTGCTGTATTCTGGGTACCCTCTCATCCTGGAGATAGCACCCTTCATTATGGCTGGAAGGCCCAGCTAGGCTGGTCTGCAGTCTTCACAAGCCCAAGCACAGTGGGCAGTTTGCTTTGGGACTGGGCGAAGTGAAGCCAAATGCTTTGCTCCTCTTATCCCCAAGGGTCTTGAGAAGGGGCTTGAGATCAACAGTTGTTGATCAACCCTGAGACTCTATTTCTCCAGGTCAGGAGATAATAAGAATTCGGAATCCCATCCAGTTCACAGGTTGGACACTCCTTTGGGACATCTGTAAGCCTTGTCCAGTTCCTGGCAGCCATGGGCCTGGCCAATGCCCTCCTTGTGGGTAAAATAAAAACAGGATGTGGGTGGAATGGGCAGAGTGGGAAGCCTGATGTGAGACTAGGCAGGGCTGGATGCTCTGTGGGTTAAGTATTCCTCCACCTTTGCCCTCACGCTCCTCACCTGGATTCTGTCCTGTCTCTCCAAGTAGGTCTGCTGTTCCTGGAAGGACCTATTAGGGCCCCAGGGTCCCTACCTTTGTAGGACTAGACCTCCCTTCTCCCTTACAACAAGTCCTGAGCCACTGTTTGCACAGTAGTTGGGAACTGTGGTTTACAGAAGCAGTTAGTTATCCAGTGGGTGTGGTGGGGCTAGTCAGAGCAGCTCCTCTTTTGTCAGATAAATGCTCCTCTAGTGGTGGTGGGGATAGCTACTGAGGGTGCCATAAAGTGACAACCTCCCCAGTTACCCACAGAGGAGCCGCTGGGGAATGTACTGTTGCTTCAACTTTGAGAAGGGCACAGCTGAAGTTGTGGAATGGATACACCTGTAAACACAGAGGTTCTGGGCTGAAGTAGAGTGTGAGAATATTCACCTTCCCTTCGAAGCAAAGAAAGCAGTATACAGGAATGGGCCCTCTCATCTCCACCGCCCTGGGTGGGAGGGATTGGGCCTTACATCATACACCCCCCATCCTCCACCTCCACACCCCCCCCCCCCGCAGTGTCCACAGCCAGTTGAAATGTAGATGAAGTCATGTCTTCCATGCCTTGCCATGAGTCCTTTCCCCCACTTATTCTTTGCCTCTACAGCTCTGTGCACTCAGGGTGGTGCTGCAATGAGGCACCGGGGGACCAAGCCCACTGGCCTATCCCAATGTGCCCTTTGAGCCTCAGGCTTCTTGACTTGCTGCTGGACACATATAGGACAACGCTATAGGGTCCATAGATCTGTTTGGTCCTATGCGGCTCAGTGATTTCCTTCTTTTATCTCTAAGTCCACCATTTAAATCTTGAATACATTTTATTTGGGAAGAAAACATTGTACCCTGTCCCAACAGTAGAAAATGATGTCCAGACAGGCTCCAGGACCACATCAGAATTTCTTCCACCAAACTCGGCCGAGCGCACACCTTCCTGGGGGCTTCAGCAGGTTTTCCCAAGAGATACCGAGCGTTTCCGCTCTGCACGCACCGCCCCCATCCCGCTTGGCATCCTTCATAGTCGGCATCCATAGACCGCGTTCTCCTCGCAGCCCTGGCCCCCCCAAGCCTGCTACGTGCACCGGCCTTGGTGCTGCCGGGTACTGCTGCACTCCTCTGCAGGAGCGTTCCGCCTCCCCGCCAGCTCAGGTTCCCCCGCGCTCACCCAGGCACTCACCAGCCGCTGTGGCCTCATCCTCCAAGCGCCTGCGCTACGCCTCTAGCGGGAGGCCTAGCGCAGTGCGGCCGCTGCGGGCTTGCGTGAAAGGGCCCTTGTGTGGCCTTGCTATGTGGCTGCACCTTTTCCTGCCCAGCCCAGCTGGGCTATGGCACAGATCGCTCTGCAGGGGATGAAGATTTCCCTACACTTCACCTCACTGACTTGCCCCCTCCCCAATTTAGGATTCTTTAACACCACCACCCTTCAGCAGAAAGGAACTAATTCACAGTGAGAACAAAGGACTGTTCCCTGGGTTTCTTGGGCATGGGAGGCCCCTGGAGGTAGCCGGATGGTCTGGCATCACTGTGGAGACTGACGTGTGTGTGTGTGTGTGTGTGTGTGTGTGTGTGTGTGTGTGTGTGCGCGCGCGCGCGCGCCAGGCAGACAGTGTGGTCCATACGGGGTTGCAGTCTTGGGACATCTCTGATGTTAGATACTGGCCCAGAAAAAGGCCTGTTGCTGAGGCCTGCTCCCATGAAGTGTGTACTATGCCTGGTTTGTAAAGACAGGGAACTGCTGATAGCTTCTAACTGACCCCAACAACTTGGGACTTTGGAACATGTGTTTAATCTTTATCCAAGTGCTTGTTAGGTGTTATTTATTTGCAACTGTTTTTGACCATTGGGTGGAAAGGGAAAGAACCAAGCAGGTCTGTTTTGTAGCTGTAGGCAGAGGCTCCAGTCCAAAAGCACAGAGGGCAGGCAGGGAGAAGCAGGACCTGAACTTGGCCAATGTGACCATGTACAGTGATGGACTGATATGCTTAGAATTGCTGGTTCTTGTAGAAGTGGTTCTACCACCCACAGTGCAGACTGTCTCTGACCTACCATCCCACTCAGACAAACCCATGAGCTGTCTTACACAACTTCTGGGGCAACTGTCTTCAGCACACCCTAAGAACCTGGCAGGACTGACGCTTTGTACTTGTTGGCTGGTACCTTCTAGCTACCTCAGCTGCAGATTCTGTCCTCAGGGCTGCTCTTCATCCCTTCCCCAGAATTGTAAGCCAGAGACAGCCCCAAGCATCAGTGTCCTGAAATTCATGCAATTGTGCTGCACATTGCCCACAGCTCACCTCAGATCTGACAGTAGACACTGCTCAGTCTACACACTGTCCTGTCATCTTCTGCTTCATGCCCATTTACGTCTCCTGCTTTCATCTCAATTAACCCTACATGATCTTTCCAGAACCTCGTGGCTTTGCTCTGATCATGACCTTACATGTCTCCTGTTTTGCTCAGAATCATGTGGCCTGAGTCGTGTCCCATCTTCATGTGGTCACAAGCCCCCATGTAACCCCATTTCCAGATCTGTACCTTTATTCTGCTCCAGGCAAGCGAGGTACCTTTCTACTGCTTGACTGTTAATTTGCTCCTACTTAAGGGTCTTTGTACTCGCTTGTTCCCCAGATATTCTCATCACTGGCTCAAGCCACCGCTTGGCAGGTCTTTGATGTTACCTTTATAGAGTGGTTTCCTCTCCCTGATCATCTTCCCCTTCACTCTGATATATCCCTTTTGCCAACCTTGTGATATTTTAATATGGATCCAGGCAGTTGTCTGATGGCTCTTCCTCTCAGAAACGGAGCCCTATGTGAAGAGGCCCAGTATGGGACTGAGGAAGCCCTCCACCTTCTTTTCTTGTCCATCCATGTTGTAAGGGACTGTGGAGCTAAGTTTGGAGCTTTGGTCTCTGAGAGTATGTAGAATGGAGGTGGTGCCTACCAATTTCTGCTCGTCTGCTGCTCCGTCCCCTGTTCCCATATCAGCTGTCTTTAAGATGCCTCTTCACCTCTCTGCCCAATCCCTGTTTTACACCTTTCCTGTACAACTTGTCTGTCCCTCGCACCTCAGTGTGGTGACTGATCTGAGCCCTACCTGAATCTCTTGAAGGTTTCACGCACACACACACACCTGTTCACATTCCATTGTGAGTGATAGAAGCTTCCATAGCCCCAACTTTTCAGTGTCTTTTTTTAATAAAAGACTTATTTATTCTATATATAGTGTTCTGTCTGAATGTATGCCTGCAGGCCAGAAAAGAGCACCAGATCTCATTACAGGTGGATGAGCTACCATGTGGTTGCTGGGAACTGAACTCAGGACCTTTGGAAGAGCAGGCAGTGCTCTTAACCGCTGAACCATCTCTCCAACCCTGTTTTCAGTGTCTTTAAGGCTTAGTGTGGGGTTCTGTGTGCACACACTTGTACATAGTGTGTGCAGACTTGTACACACTGTGGTAGACTTTCACAGTGCTGGTCTTTTCCAAAGGGAAGGCCCATCTGAAAGCCTGGATCTTCCTGGGAACTTGGGACACCCACATGCTTAAATGTGGCCCTAGTTCCCACCTAGAGTGTGGAGAAATACTGCTGCTCTTCAGGACTGACCTTCTCTCCACAGGAAGTCATCTACACAGGGGCTGATATACAACTTCACCCACTTAGATGCTTTCCTGGACCTCCTCATGGAGAACCAGCTCCTCCCTGGTGAGTAGCCGCCCTGTTTTTCCCACAGTCTGTCATTCTGTGTCCTGGTGGGTGGTGGTATCTCAGCACTGACTGAGGTGCTGATGAGGTATAGCCCAGCTGGGCTTGGTGTGTTGGATAGTGGGGCAGCTACCCTGTGTGTTTCAGGATTTGAGCTGATGGGCAGTCCTTCTGGGTACTTCACGGACTTTGAGGACAAGCAGCAGGTGTTTGAATGGAAGGACTTGGTTTCTCTCTTGGCCAGGAGATATATTGGTGCATAGAAGGGGGAAATCCTGGGGGGCTGCAGTGGGCTGTCCTGGGAGGCCCTCCTTCCTGATCACCCAGACCATTTCAAGGTCTTTCCTGCCACAGACATTCCTATACCCCAGCCAGAGATGGCTGATGGGTGAGGGATTCACCTGATGGGGGTGGGGTGGGCCCAATCCCTAGGAGACACCAGGTAGGCTCTATCCCCAGACCTGAGGGTAGAGCGTCCAGCGTGTAACAGCAGAGACACTCTGCAGGTAGGTATGGACTGACACATGTTTCCAAGTGGAACTTTGAGACTTGGAATGAACCAGACCACCACGACTTCGACAATGTGTCCATGACCGCACAAGGTGGGCAGCGTTTTTCCAGGTCCTGTTGGGTGGGCCGCATGAAAGGAAGCACAACAACACCAGACCCTCAAGACCCCTCTTGCCCTAGGCTTCCTGAATTACTATGATGCCTGCTCTGAGGGGCTGCGTATTGCCAGCCCCACATTGAGGCTGGGTGGCCCTGGGGATTCCTTCCACCCCCTGCCAAAGTCACCACTTTGCTGGAGCCTCCTGCGCCATTGTGCCAACGGAACCAACTTCTTCACTGGCGAGGTGGGCGTGCGTCTGGATTTTATCTCCCTGCACAAGAAGGTATGTGATTCCCCCACCACTCCCTCCCTGATTTCAGTTGAGCCTGAACTGAGAGGTACGGTGCTGGCTGCAGGGCGCAGGCAGCTCCATCTCCATCTTGGAGCAGGAGGTAGCAGTTGTAGAGCAGATCCAGCAGCTCTTCCCTGAGTTCAAGGACACCCCTATTTACAATGACGAGGCAGACCCTCTGGTGGGCTGGTCACTGCCACAACCTTGGAGAGCTGATGTGACTTACGCGGCTTTGGTGGTGAAGGTGGGTCCTTGCTATCTAGCCTCATCCAGCCTCGGGAAGTCTTCCTCTGGCGGTGCTGGTGGGGACAGTACAGATGGCCTCAGGTACACGTCTCATCTGCCCTGATGTCCACAGGTCATTGCACAGCACCAGGACCTGCTGCTTGCTAATAGCAGTTCCTCCATGCGCTACGTGCTCCTGAGCAATGACAATGCCTTCCTGAGCTACCACCCGCACCTTTTCTCCCAGCGCACACTTACTGCCCGCTTCCAGGTCAACAATACTCGCCCACCCCATGTGCAGCTCCTGCGAAAGCCAGTCCTCACAGTCATGGGGCTGATGGCCCTGCTGGGTGAGCCATGACCCTGCTTCTGCATATGCTGGGTCAGAGTGAGAGAACATGGAAATACTGGGCAGGGACAAGCATACTTCCTCCAGCTGCTGGGTGGGTTTCTTAGGCTGGTTTTCCAAATCTCCACCTCATCCCCTCCTCCCATTCTGTGGACTGAACAGTATGGCAGGGCCTCCCACAAATGGTGGGAGCCAGGCATTAGGGTAGGAAGCCAGGTGCTGGGTATGAGGGAGTCAACAGCCTCGGTCCTCTGCCTGGCCTATAGATGGAGAACAACTCTGGGCAGAGGTGTCAGAGGCTGGGGCTGTGTTGGACAGCAATCACACAGTGGGTGTCCTGGCCAGCATCCATCGCCCCGAAGTCTCCTCGGAGGCCTGGCGTACCACGGTCCTGATCTACGCTAGTGATGACACCCATGAACACCCCAACCGCAGTATCCCCGTGACTCTTCACCTTCGCGGGGTACCCCCTGGATTGGGTGAGTGAGGTTCAGAAGGAAGTAGGGATCCCAGCAGGGATGAGACAAGGGAGGTAAATCATGGTGTATGGGTTCACAGGGCTTGTCTATGTAGTACGCTACCTAGACAATCAACTCTGCAGCCCCTACAGTGAGTGGCAGCAGATGGGTCAGCCAGTCTTCCCCTCTGCAGAGCAGTTCCGACGTATGCGCATGGTGGAGGTTTGTGGGCAAGTCGGGAGGAGGGGAGAAGGGGTTCCTTAGTTAGTGGGGAGGTTTGCCAATCACATGCCCCTCCCTTGTCTCCAGGACCCAGTGGTTGAGGCACCGCGTCCCTTCCCTGCTGGAGGCCGCCTGACTTTACATAGGAAGCTTTCTTTGCCATCACTTCTGCTGGTGCATGTATGCACACAACCCTTGAAGCCACCAGGGAAGGCAAGTGGCGGCTTTCTACCCCACCTGTGAGGCTCCCTAGCTCACTCCTTCATAGCTACTCCCTCCTCACAGGTTAGCCGGCTCCGGGCACTGCCCCTGACACGTGGGCAGTTGGTTCTAGTCTGGTCAGATGAGCATGTGGGCTCCAAGTGCGTGAGTGGGAGTGGTTATCCTTCCCTATGTCATTACCCTTGTGATCATTCATCTCCCTTCTCCATTGCCGCAGACCTCTGTGCTCAGTACACAACGCACACACCCGCACAGATCCATTTGTGTGAGCTGGAGATCACTCCAGTGCTCCCCCCTCACTGTGACCTGTCACAATTTGAGAGTAACCAGGGACCCTAGTGGTACCAGGAAGGGAGTTGAAGAGTAGAGGGTTGTGGGCCCACCCTACCCCACCAATCTAGTCCTTCAGGGTTCCCAGCTTTAGTACTGACCCAGCCCTCCCCAGGTGCCTGTGGACATATGAGATCCAGTTCTCCCAGAAGGGTGAGGCGTATGCCCCAATCAGCAGGAGGCCGTCTACTTTCAACCTTTTTGTGTTCAGCCCAGGTGCGCCCAACCTTGGCGGTTGTACTGCCGGACCTCCTTCTATACAGTATGGTGTGGGGTGGGTCTGGGGTTTCAGGAGCTTCAGAAAACATGTGCTTTTTGTCTGCAGACACAGGTGTGGTTTCTGGCTCCTATCAAGTACGAGCATTGGACTACTGGGCCCAGCCAGGCCCCTTCTCAGACCCTGTGACTTATCTGGATGTCCCTGCCTCATGAGAGTCACTGGCTTCTAGTGACTGGTGAGCCTGTGCTGACTGGTAAATGGGGTCGGCCAAGTTGAGCTAGACTGCCGTTAGCTAGTCAGTTGACTATGGCTCCCTTTGTTGTTTCCCCCATTTTCTTTTAAAGTATCTTTCTCTACCTCAGCCTTGGAGTCTGTCTTTGTGGATGAACACTACAGGGGGCCCAGTTGCAGTGACCTTTGCCTGCTTTCCTCTCTCCACCCAGATGCTCAAAAGTTTAACTTTGGAACTGGGAAGATGGCTCAGTGGGTAAAGTGCTTGCTGTGCAAACATGAGGTCAGTACTCATGTAAAGGCCGGGCATGGCGAGAGATGCCTATAACTCTAGTGTTGGTGGGAGGGACAGAGGCAGGCCAGGGCGCACTGCTCATCTAGTCTACCTGAAACTGCAAGCTCCAGGTTCAGTGAGAAATCCTGCTTCAGAAAAATCAAGTAGAGAACTATAGAGAAGATACTCAATATTTAACTTTGGTCTACACGTGCACAAATACACACCCTCTTTCTCTCCCTCTCTCTCTCACCCGCAAAACACACTGCACATCATACTATGCACACACAGGCTAAATTCAGTTCCTTTTCTGAGACTCAAGACAAACTTTTAGCTTGAGATTCTACAATATCAAGAATAAAGTTATGCGCTTCTGAAATACAATTGCATAGGATAAACATCTCCATGTCAACAGGAAAATAAATGACAAGGAAGGATTTAACTGAAGCAAGATCAAAATATTAAATCCTGCAGATACAGTCCCAGAACTGGGGCAGATGTTATTGTGATGTGAACTCTGAAAATGTTCTGTCTTTGTGGTGTTGCCACCTACAGCTCCTATGACTTTTCTCCTGGGCTGGTATTTTACGTTTTCCACCGCTGTGATTAGACATGACAAGCACAAGCGACTTGGGTAGGACAAATTTTATTTTGCTTACATTTCCAGGTTACAGTCTATCGTTGAAGGAAGTCAGGGCAGGAACCTAGAGGCAGGGACTGATTTAGAAGCCATGGAGAAGTGCTGCTGACTGGCTTGTTCTCCAAGGCTTTCTCAGTCTATTTTCTTATAGACCCTAGGACCACCAGCCAAAACAGTGGCACCTCTCACAGTGGCCTGGGCCCTCCTACACTAATCACTAATAAGAAAATGCAATACAGGCTTGCCCATAGGTCAATCCTGTTAGGGCATTTTCTCAGTCTTCCCAAATGACTCCAGCTTGTGACAAATTGACATAAAACTATTCCGGCCTTGACACACATTACCAGGCCTCCCAAGTCTTCCTTTGAAATCTGCCTGGAATCCTATATAACCCTGTAACTGTAATTCTTGTATTCTGTCTTCTACGCCAGCATCCCGTGGATCACACGAAGCTTGGATGGTAGCTGAGGACCCTTGGGCCATCCATGGCTGCAGTAAACTTGGAGTGCCTTGTTACTTTTCCCTGTGCACTTGGGCAGAACATCATAAGGATGGTAACTTGTAGAGGGGGAGGCTGTTCACCTCATAGGGAACAGGAAGCAGAGTAAGGATAGAATTAAGTGTAACCTTCAAAAACACTTCTTCACTGACCTTTGTCCAAATAGGCCCTACCTCCTAAAGTTTCTAGAATCTCCCAAAACAGAACCATTACCTGGAAACAATTGTTTAACATATAAGCCTTTGGGGGGATTATATTTACTATTTAAAATTTGCTGGATACATCACCTTGATTCTGGAAGAACCCTTGCTCTTTCAGTACCAGTCCCTGGTGTGCTAAGACACAGTTACATCCCTTTCAGGTGACCTATTGGACACACATGTCCTTAATTCATTCTGTACATATCCCTTCTCTCCAGCAGCCCATGAAAAAGCCCAACATACAGAAATTTGTGCTGCAGCCTAGGTTTGCTGCCAAGCTCTTCCAAGTTAGTATTACCTTCTGTCCAGGAAATAAGTCTGAATGGAATGCTTGTACACGCTACGTGGCTACATCCAATTTAGAGTTCCTCTGGCCTTGTGGCTTTTAGAAGTGGGTAGAGTAAATAAAATACAATGACCTTCTGTAGTGCTTTTTATCCCTGTAGGCTGGCCTTGAAACCTTGACCCTTCTGTCTCAGCCTCCCTAGTACTAAGATTATGGGTGTGTATGTATCACCATGCCTGTGAATGACCCTTCATTTCAAATAAAATAGGACATTTCCCACTGCCATGGGATCACCACAGGCTCCCCTAGAGAATGCTGAGCTTTTCAGAGCTTGCCTTCCACCTCTTGGAAGTATGTTTTGCTAAACCCTCCAGGGCATGTAACTTCTTGCCCACCAAGCCCAGTGAGCATGACCAACAGGTTGCATTAATTTTGGAAGAGTGATGTCACCAGGCAAACTTCACACCCATTATGTGAACGTAGACTGCTCTTGATGAGACAAAGAGCACTTTCCAGTGGAGAAACTTATGTCAGGCAGCCAGCCCTCAGATGTAGTGGGTGTTGATGTGGTCATGTTGCAGTGAACCACCAACACAATATCTCTGGGGCAAGTTATGAGGATCTGGAAGAAGACCTCTCCATCTCCCTCTCTGTCCTAAACTGGAAAAGGGCCTAATGGGTGGTCTTCAGAACAAGCCAACAAGGTCTGCTGGAAGATGCTACTGAAAGCCTCAGGTGACAGGACTGTAGCCACTTAGACCCATTATCCAATCACTGTGGGAGTTCACCTTCCTTTTCCAGGTGGGGCCTAGTCTCCCTCGTTCTAGGTTCTGTGTCTGTAAAGTGGCTCAGGTCAGAGATTAATATGATGCTTTGGAGCAACATTGTGATAGTTTGTGCTGGCAACCGGTCCCGTAGGCCCATGTCTGGCAGCACTCTGCAGCCTGTCCTCTGGAAATATCTCAGGCCCTCTCATCTTGTTGATGGTGTTTTATCTTACTGGTGACTTCTGTAGGCACATTGCTGTGGAAGTGCTTGAGCAATTCTTGACTAAGGAGCATTCCCATCGGCCTGTGCTGTGTTTACTTCCAAAGGGCTTTGGATACTGTTTGATACACTGACCACTGTCCCTGTGTACATCATGAACGAATGTGTATCACCAGCTTCCTAGGACAGTGTATGCAGGCAGGGTATTGTCCAGATCCCTCAACTTGACTTTTGAACCCTGTAGGTTACTCAGGCTCACACCACAGACTTCAGACCCTTGATACTCTAGGCAGTCAATGCAGGAGCTTACTGGTTTGCTCTTCAAGGCTTGCTCACTTTGCTCTTATACGAGACAGGTCCATCTGCCCAGGGGTAGCATTATGCATAGTGAGGTAGGTCTTCACATCAATCATTAATCAAGAAAATGGTCTCGAGACTTGCCTACAGGCTAATTTGATGGTGACAATTCCTCAGTTGGGGTTTCCTCTTCACAGATGACTCTAACTTGTGTCAAATTGACAAAAGCTAATAATGATTGAGGGTCTATGTCATAATGCCTCTTCTGGCCCTGATGACTGGGCATAGTTGATCCTTGGCTCTTCTCTTGGTCTGACTGGCATATTTCATTTTCTTTTCTTGCTCCTCCTCCCTCATGGCCTGGTTCAGTTTGGACCGTTCTAGATGCTTCTGGCTGAACTTTCCCTCATATCTACAATAAAACCCTTCTCCTCAACCATACCTTGTAGTGATCATGCCCTAATTTTCATTCAGGGTGCTGTGTTAGTTACTTTTCAATTGCTATGATAATACAACATGACCAAGGCATCTATGAAGAATTTTTTCTGGCTTAGTTTCACAGGGATAAAAGTTTGCTATGGCAGAAAAGGCATAGCAGTGAGAAGCAGGCATGGTCCGTGGGAGCAGGAAACAGAGATCACAAACCTTTAGCCACACACACAAAGCGAAGACAGTGAGTTGGAGGTAGGGCGAGGGCATAAATTCTCAAAAACCTGTCTCCATTGGAGTCTCATCTGAAACTAAATCTCAAAATCAAAAAGTAGTACTACATTATATAAACATATGTATATATGTTCTAACTTAGAACACAGAATATGTATTACCCTTCCCAAGGGGAGGAATGGGGGTATAGTGGGAAAACATTGGACCAAAGTAAGACTGAAACCCAGGAGTGAAAACTGTAAATCCTATAGCTCCATGTCTGGTGCTAGGACTTTAAAGTGCTTAAATGGCATAGCCTCCCACCCACCTTGCTGCCTGCAACATACATCTCTCTTTTGGACATGTTTCCAATCCCTGCCTGCAATGTTCCTTGACAGATGCCCATAGCTGAGCATCTCCAACATCCTGGAGGTTTCCCTGCAACCTGGTGTCACAGCTTCATGCAATGGCCTCTCACATTGCCCTCTTAAGGCCTTCATACAGGGACTCTGCTTCCAAACACTGCCTGACCTTAGTTGGAAATAAAGCTGCTGTGAACATCTGTGCGTATATCTTTTGTGGACTTTCTTTTCTGTTGAGTGTGGACCTGAGAGTATGATGTCCAGAGCACATGTGAGATTCAGGTTTCTTTGGTGAGTTCCAGGCCAGCCAGAGCTACAAATCAAGACCATGTCTCATAAACAACAACAACAACAACAACAAACAAACAAAAACAAACACCCCCCCCAAAAAAAAACAAAACCAAAACTTTCTTATGTAATCTCTTAAATGCATTGTTATTTCTTACTTTAAACAGTTGTCTTTTCTATTCTTTTTGAAACAAGGTTTTATTCTGTACCCCAGGATAACCTCAAACTTATGATCCTCCTACTTTAGCCTCCAGATGCTGGAATTACAGAAATCTGCTTCTGCACCTACCTTTAAATAGTTACCTTTTAAAGGGAATTAAATAAGACAAGTATTGCTTACATCTGTTTACTCATGCAGTACTAATGTGATCTTTATCTTTCCTAAAGAAGACACATACCTTCTTGTGTGTCTTCATCTGTTTGAAGGACACCCTTTAGTCCTTCTTTAGAACAGAACTGCTGGTCACAAATTCTTTCAGCTTAATATTTTTAACTTAGCATTTTCTTTTAAAGTTTTTTTTTTTTTTTTTTTTTGCTGGCAAAGAAGACTAGCTTGATGAGTTTCTTTTCCTGGCATTAAACACACTGCTTTTGTTTTTGTTGCTTGAAACTGCTTTCACACACTCTGATTTTCACAGCTAGCTTTACAACAGTGTTGTGCTTTTCATCATGTTTCCTGAATTTAGGTGTGTTGAACCCTCTGCAACCCTGGGTATGTATACTTCTCATCACCTTTAGAAAAATTTATGGGTATTTTGCTTGCATGTATGTCTGCGCACCATGTGTGCCTAGTGCCCAAGAAGGCTAGAAGAGGGCCTCAGATGCCCTGGGCCTGAGCTACAGATGGTTGTGAGCCACTATGTGGGTGTTGGGAATTGAACCCTTTGAAGAATAGACATTGCTTCCAACTGCTGAGCCATCTCTCCAGCCCTTTTATCCATTTAAATTTTATCCATTATAAAATTAAGGGTATTTTTCTTTTCTTTTTTTTTTTGCCTTTCCTTTTCTCTTTTAGAGATTCCAGTTTTACTTGTACCTCCCACTAGAGTTTACTGATGTTCACTGATGCTTCTTCAACTCTACCCAGCCATCTTCCTTGGCACAGTTTTTTTCTTTTCACAGTTCTGTTGCATTCAAGCCCAGTAACTCTTGCTTTTGCAATTATTCATCATCTTAATTCTGGGCATTTAATTTCATATCTAGAAATTGGATTTGTAGCTGCAAGTTTTTCCCCATTATTGTATGCAACATCTCAATCTTCCTTGTAGCACACCTCCCATCTTCCATACACAGTCTCACTGTGTAGTCCAGACTGGCCTAGGACTCATGCTCCTCCTTTCTCCTTCTCCTATGTGCTGAGATAACTGACCACTCCTGGCTTCTTGCAATATCTAAAATACAGAAATAGTTGCAGAATGTGATGTTTCTACTTCTAATTCTGCTACCTGTTGTTTCTGGTCAGTTTTGAGATCTTTCCCATCTGAGTTATAACTTTACATTTCTTTTCATGGTTTTATAGAACATCTGGAATTATGCTGAGTATTTCTATTTCTGCACATGCTTCTGGGATGCAACTGGGTTACTTGGAACTGGAAGATCCTCTGGGTCTTGTTTTCACACATCAGGAGGGGGCAAAACTACTTGGTCTGAGTGATTCTTCCCCACTTCAACTTAGGCAGGCTTCTTTTTATATTCTAGCTACTGTCACTTGAGCTTTGTGGTTTGACTTGGGTGGTGGATACTGTATCTGATTGACTCTAGGCAGTTCCTGCTCTCCTGGTATTTCCCTCCCTTGTCTTCTCTGTCCTCTCCGGAGGTCCTCTGTACTAGGTGGGGTTCTCTGAAGCCTCTGGAGCTCTGTAGATTTTGTCTTCTTGCCTTCTACCTGCATCTCATCTTGCCTTTGCCTGAGAGTGATGAGGACACTTGTTGGCACTCATTTTCCTTTCTTGTTTCTTTCTTTCTTCTCTCTCTCTCTCTCTCTCTCTCTTTCTTTTTTTTTTTTGTTTGTTTTTTTGAGACAGGGTTTCTCCGTAGCTTTGGAACCCAACCTGGAAATAGCTCTTGTAGACTAGGCTGGCCTCAAACTCACAGACATCCATCTGCCTCTGCCTGCCAGTGCTGGGATTAAAGGCTTGTGCCACCACTGCCCGGTGGCAGTCATTTTGCAAAATGTGCTGTCTGTCCTTTGCTGCCACTTCTCATGGCTTCAGTGGCTTTTGCATTTATTTGCATTTATTTCTCACTGTTGATTGTTTCAGGCGAAAGCGCAAATCTGATCCTAACTACATCTCAATTCTCTGCAGATGTTTTTGGGGGCATGTGTACTTTTCAGCCTATACAGCTGATAAGGGACCGTCCTCACAGTAGGTTTGACTGTCTTCCTTGTTCAGCCACAGCTCTAGACCATCACCGAGACTGGTCTTACCAGCGCTCAGAGAATGAAGATCACAGAAAAAGAGAATTAGGGACTGCAGGGACATGCGACAAATAAACTCAAACCCGTGATGCTACGGAGTGGGATTGCCTACTGGACACAGAATAGCCAACCGCCTAGATTTCACTTTCAAAGGGGCAGGGCTTGCACTCAATATACTCCGGTTTCTGGTTCCAAACGCAGCGAAGCAAGGCGAGGCAAGCCAGGTTCCAGAGCTGCACTGTGGTTTCCGGACAAGAGGAATGGGCACCCTGCGGGCTCCAGTACGACAGGGTGGGGAGGAGTTGGTTAAGTTCCCTCGGGAGCTGCTGGACCCGTTATCTCCGCCAGGGGGCAGCGTGTTCCTGCGCCGGTCAGGGCTAAGGAGTGGAGAGTCTGGGAGGGCCACCGGGAACAGGTGGGGGGGGGGGGTGGTGTAGAGGGGGCGCGGCGGTCTCCCCAGCAAGGAGGGTAAAGGGAGACTTGGGCTGGAGGTGGTGACAAGGGGATTAGCGTCCAGCGGCCAGGAAGCAGGAGGGAGGCGAAGGGCAGTATTTCCCCTTCCTGGCACACCTGCTCTGACACCTCTGTCTTTGAACAAGCCTCAGCCACCTGTGGTCTCTGCACCTTCCCGTAACTCCTCCTCACTGCCCATTTTTTCCTGCCCCTTGCGCTCACCTTCCGCTTTTAACCTCCCCACACTTCAGAGCTACCTTGACACACACCTGCCCTTGGCAGCAACACACCTGTTGGAGCTCTTCATGCTTCAATGGCATCTCCTCCCAAAACTTTTTTGTGGAGCCAGGGCCTACTCAGACAAGCCAGGACCACTCTATCTATCTGTTTTGAACGCTGTCTGCCACACCAGTGCCAGCCCAAGTCCTCTGGTAGCCCAGAGAAGGTTCTGCAGGCTGCTTCTGAGACAGTTTTGTAGGTGAGATGACTAATAGTTGGATCCCTGGACCTTCATGCAGGGCACAGAGGAGGCACAGGAGGAATGATAGGCTCACCTCCACTTCCCCACCAGGCCCAGAAACAGAATTTGGAGCTAGGGACACTAAGGGATTACCCAGTTTCATTTTTCTCTGGAAGGCTTCCTGGAAGAGGGAGACTTCTTAGCTCAGAGAAGAGAGGCTGTTTGGATCAGGGTCCTTCAGACCAGAGCGTAGTCGTGATCTCTTGGAGTGCTCCTGGGACCTGTTGGGTAGCTCCCAGACTTCTAAGGCCTCAAAAATTATGAGGTTTTGTATTGAGTGACCCATGTTTTGATGAATTTTGGCTCTGGTGAGTGAGGGTAGGCGGGAAGCTGTGGGGTGGCTGGTGGGAACTCAAGCCAGAGACTGCAGGGAATGGGAGGAGATGGTGAGGCCTGGGAACCAGGTGGTTCTTCCCCGCCATGTGATCATGGGTAACTCACCTCTCTTTTTTTGTTTGATGGGTGCCGGGGGACAGCAAGACACCTGTCACGCAGCAAAGACAAAAGGGTATGATTATTATCACAAAGCAGGTGAGATGCGCAGAGGCCATAGAACCCTATCTGCTTTCCTAAGGTCACTAGGTAAAGCTAGATGTTCAAGTCAGGGTCTCTTTGGACTCCAGCAGTAGAGTCCTGCTTCTGCTTCAAACCAGAGCAGCCCAGCTGCCCTCTCTACTCACAAAAGCTCCAAGGGTCGCAGACTTAAAGCAGAGTGGTGTCCAGTTCTTTTCCTCCTGGCATACCAGGAGAGAGCCAGGGCAGTAGCGGCCAATTCTGGGAGCCAGGGGAACTCAGAGTACCGCCTGGCTGGTAAGGGTCTGGAGTGGGCTCCGCGGCCATTAGCTTGTCTCGAGGCTAGCAGGCCCGCACGTTCCCAGAGCAGACTGACCGGGCGAGGTCGGGTGGACTGGGCGCCCTCCGAGAAGCGGCCGCGAGAAGGGTGGAAGCACGGCGAGGGTTAAGCTGCGAGCTTGGCGGGCACGTGCGCGGATTGGAGCAAAGTTTCGGGGAGGGGCGGGGCACGGGGAGGACTGGGGCTCACAGATTGGCCGGAAGTTGTGCGGGGCGGAGCTCACGGCTGCTCCGCGCTCGCTCCGGGAGAGTTGACAAAGCCCCGCAGGGAAGGACGCCTCGCGGCGCGGCGCCCCGGGCCCCTCGCCCTGCCGCCCCTCGCCCCGGCCCGCTCCTAGCCCCATCGTTTAAACGCGTGGACAGCGCGCCCCGCGCCCCAGCCCGGCCCCAGCCTCCAGCGCCCAGGTAGCGCCGCCCCGCCCAGGCCGGGCCCGGGGGCGCGGGGGGCGGGATGCGGCGCCCGGGGCAGCGATGACCGCGGCGCGCTACCCGCGGGCCCGGCCCTGACCCTGCTGCCTGCGGCGCACCCGCACGCCGACCCCTGTCGAGGTGAGCCGGGCTGTACGTCCGCGACCCCCGGAGGGAGGGCTGGAGTGGGTCGGAGTGCGGGGCGCGAAGGGCAGGGCCGCGATCACTGTGCGGGGTGGGGGCCGGGCTCGCGTCGTAGCTGCTCCTGTGGGGCCCGCGGCCCTGCCCCGCGCCCCGCCCCCGCCCGCGCCCCACGTGGGCCCCCCAGCGCAAATTTGTCCGCTAATGGCGCAGGCGATTATCTGCGGGGCCGCTCGGTGTTGTGTGTCCCGCGGGCAAGGCCGGAGTTACAAGCGCCAGGAATCCAGACGGTGTTTGGAAAGGGGGCGGCGGGGGCGGCTGGTAATTAGTGTAAACCCTTTGTCTGCCTTTGATACGCTCAGCGTCTACGCGCCTCGCTTCCTTTGCCTGGAGCTCAGCGCCGAGGGGGGCTGGACCCAGGCTCTGCGGCCGCGACCTGGGTCTTGCCGGACTGAGCCCTGAGCCGCGTCCACTCCAGCTCCTGTGACCGCGCCCCTACTCCAGGTTCGACTGGCGAGATGACGGGGAGCCCGGCGCTGCTGCTGCTGCTGCTACTGCCGCCGTTGCTACTGGGGGCCCTCCCGTCGGCTAAGGCGGCGCGAGGTGAGTCCTGGCGTCCAGTCTGGCGCTCTGGCTTCTGCAGCGCCGCCCCTTTCCCGCCAGCCCTGAACCCTGCCACAGTGCCCGCCTGGCACACTCCTCCCCTCCCTGTCTGCCCCATTGCAGCAGGGCCCCCACCCCTGATCCTTAACCCGTACTGCCGGCTTCACATGCCTCCAGCTCACTCATGGAGTTACCAGGCTCACACTCTGGTACCCCCACCTCATCCTCTTTGACTGACACCTCACTTAAAGGGCCCTAGGATCACTTGATTGTTGGCCAAGTGTGATCTTGCTTAGTCCCCTCCAAGAGACGCTCATAATCTTGCATACACATACTTCCAGGTACATATCTAGGTGGAGGGCAGGTGGTCACCCCATAGATTCTTGGGGAGTGGACTCTTTGTGGACACAGAAAGTCTGATTGGGACCCTGGAAGCCTGTAGAGACTCAGTCAGTGGCTAGCTGAATATAGAGAACATTGGTGACATCTTAGTGATTGGAGCTCACCCAGATCCAGCACTCAGCTGACCCAGCCCTGGACCCTTGGCTTGCTTATCTATTACAGGTAGCATAGTGTAGAGCCTGGTGGGGAGGGGGTTCCTAGAGCACAGAACATCACTGCACAGGGAGGGCTGGTTTCTGAGAAAGATACTTGAAGATATTAGACCTCAGGGCTACACAACACTTGGTTGCTGCATACACCACACTACAAGCTTGGATACCGTCTCACCCATCTGATGTCCTGTGGAGAGCTCAGCCCTAAACCTAGCCCTGGCAAAGGCATCCATAGCTGATGAGTGATACATGCGCATGGATTTTTGCCCACCGTGTTCCAGTGTCACGGGACATGGTGCTGGCCTCCCCTATGGTTAGGCAGGACTCATGGTCAGGCGGGCCCTTTGGGTGTGTTGACCATTCAGAATTGTCCTTGCTCTGTCCACCAGTCCCCTGAGGCTTCGCATCTCCTCCCCCCCCCCCCCCCCCCCCCCGCCACCAGCGCGGGCGCACTGAACCCAACCTGGCCTTATATGGCCACATTCGGTGTTGGGCGGCGGGCGGCGGCCCAGGTGGGCCTTATGCCACTATAACCCCCCCCCTTCTGCTTGGGGACTGGCTGGCCGGAGGGTGGGGGCTGTTCAGGCACAGCTGGGCTGGACAGTGTCCTGGGCATGTAGGCACTTGGGCCATGCTGAGTGAGTCGTCTTTTCACGCCCTCCCCCCCCAACCGGTGGTCCAGTCTTTGATTACTCTTTTATCTGTTTGGATAACTCCCATCCCAGCACCTGCCTCTTCTTTGCTCAGTCAGGGAGGCTCTGAAGGCCTCTCCTCTGTTATGATCACTGGCTGGACCTTCAGACTGATTGATGGGTCGCGGTGAGCAAGCAGCACCCTACCTTTTTGCTGATGGCCCTAGAGAGGCCACCACTTTTACCTTGTCTCCCGTGGCAACAACCTTTGGACTGAGCCTTATACCCTGACTGTGCTAGCGAAGGGCCTTGGCCAGCACTAGGGAACTGGAAAAAGCTGTCTTCCAAGGGCCCTGTGGTTGGGGTGGAAGGATGGTGTTTCCTGAACTATGCTGACTTCTTCCTTCAGGCACAATCTGGACTGGAGGGGCAAAGTTATTCCAAATGCATTTCTTTTCCCGTGGTTCTTCCCTGAGTAGGCCCAATTCTGTCTTGAGTTGGGCCAGAGAACTGCATGTAGAGTTTGGGCTGTTTTGAAAGCCATTTCCCTGGGGTGTCACAGCTATTGGAATCTGTACATCTCTAGATTCAGATCATATTTTAAAAGTTACCCTTTGCCCAAAGTTTCACAATGTTGGTCAGTTTGCCTTAGAATATTTCCCCCCAAACTTGAAGAAAGATAAGTTTTGGCTTATTACTCTCTTATATTTCTCACAGTGAGAATGTAAGTTTCAGAAGAGAATATCATTCTCAAAGATAAGTCTGCAAGTGTGTTGGGCTTTCTGAGAAATGCCGCCTCTGACCTTTTATAAGGATGGTTCCAGGATCAGTCTCTGAGCATCCAGCACAGGTTTCTCCCTGTCTTTTGGGCCCTTATGTTTAGAGTGAGCTTACCCTGGTTGACTGTTAGGGCGCTTGCCGTGGTGTCCCATGCAGCAGGGACAGCTTAGTTTCAGCCATTTGCCCAGAGCACTGTGTTGTAGAGGAGAAGGGTGTGTGATGCTGTGAGAGCTGATGGCTGGCCATCTGTATGGAGCTGACTGGCTTTTAACCAGGCTGTAGGAGGCCTCTTTTCTTCACAGGCTGTGGCTGATCAGAGTGTGGCTGGAGAGAGGTAGATGTGCAGGAGCCAGGCCTAGCCCCTGTGAGGTAGGGATGTGGGCCAGCCTCCCATTCACATCTGGGGCCCTATTCCTGGAAGGGAAAATAAATCACTGTCCCCCTGGGGGTGGGGAGGGAGCTGTGAACAAAGTCGCCTTTGGCTAGGCCTGGAAATACCGACCACAGGCTCCTTTATCCTTTGTGCGGGATCAATGGGCCTCTAGGCTCTCAGAGTTGCCTTTCACTCGGCCTGCCCTGTACTGTGGCCCTTACTAGGGAAATGTTGGTTTTTCCCCAGCTGAGGCCTCTGGTCTCTGGCTTTCCTGGCCTTGGCTCAGTCTTTGCTGGTAGTGCCGGGGGCAGTTGGCTGTGGCCCAACAGCCCTGCTCCCCCTACTGGCCACCTGCCCTCTGTATAGCTAGGGCCTGATGCTTGGCCCATGGTGTCCTTTTCTCTATCATTTTGCCTTAATGTGGTGACTCCAGAATGCATAGGGTTTAACGTGTGTCTAAGCCTCTGTTCCCATACTTCATTGACACTCTCCTCTACTTGCTACCTACTCTTCTGTCCAGTACTCCTGCCTACATCTCAAGGAGGAGGAGATCAGGGGTTCCTGGAAATGGGGTAATGGGGCTAGATCCTCAGACTGGGATGCAGACAGAATAGGTTTATGGGGGTGTGGGCTGAGTAGGCCTAGGAGAGGTAGAAACAAGGTGCATGCCATTGGGCAGCTGTTAGAAGCAAGAGCTTCCCACTGAGCAGGAAGCACAACCCCTCTTTCCACCAGGAGTTTATTTCCTGAGAGATTTATATGAGTTGCCAAGGGCCTGGAGAGCTAGTTGGTAGTGCCTCCAGTAGTGAGTGGGAACAGAGCCATCTGCTCTGACTCAGGTGTGGGGCTGGACAGCGGGGGGGGGGGGGGAAGGTTCCAGCCCTTGATGACAGTCCGGGGTACCCCTCAGGGAACTTGGGTTTTGTGTCCAGGGCTGCCAGCCCAGAGCCTTCTACTCCTTGCAGCCTACTTTTTAGCTTCTGGTGATAGCAGTATGATTTGGGCTGAGGCTCTGTGCCACACATTGCTACAGGCAACTGGGCCCCCTGGGGAGCCCTCAACTCTATCCCTAAGAAATCTCTGTGTCAGCAGTGTTGTGTACTTTTGGATGGGTTTGCCCAGACTATGTGGTTTAGGCTGTTCCAACATCCCTTCAGTCTTTGTAGGGGCTAGGTGGCATGCTGCCTTGACCCCTGACCTCTGCCTCGGGAGCTTTGGGTTCAGGAAGTAGACTTATTTACAGTTTTTGATGAGGTATCAGGGGGCTGGATGTCCAGGTGAGCCCCGCCCCCCAGTGGATCCTAAGGCAGTTATCTTCTATGGATGGTGTGTATGTGGCTGCTATAGGGTGGTGGTCTTAACTGATGATACCCATGCTACTGTATGTGGTCTTGGTGGGTCAGAGAGTGTCTAGGAACTAGCAGTGTGCAGATGTGGCAGCTGAGATATTCCAGAAAGAGGTGCAGACCTAGGGGACCAGGCAGTACCTCCAGAGAACCCTTTTCCCCACATTAACTGGCTTGCCTAATTGCCACTGCTGGGCAAAAGGCAAGCTAGCTTCACTAACTAGCTTGTTGAAGCATAATGTCTTCTTGGGGTGCCTAGATGGCTGGTTCCTAGGATAGCCACCTGCCTGGATCCTGCTAATGTGGCTGTAGAGCCTATGGTTCTGGTCCTTGGGTACCCTCAGTTTGTTGCCAAGCCTTGGATTTTCACAGCACTGGACCTGTGTGTCCTTGTCCATGCAGTTATGGACCTTCAAGGATCTTGGCCTCAAGACAATGTAGAACCTGCCCCTGGACCCTGAATGGGCAGCTGGGCCTTGTGACTGTCACCTGTGCTCTTTCTCTGAGGGGCATCTCTGCTATTTCCTGGGCTTTGGTCTCCTAGCATTGCTAGAGAACTGTCTCTGGATTTCTCACCTGTCCTGTCCTGGGGCTCCAACTGTGAGTATTGTGGGATATTTGTTCTCACAGCCAGGGACCAGGGCAGTTCCTTGGTGGGGGCATGTCATACCAGTCATAGTAAGCTCTTTACTCGGTAGGACCCCACCTGGGTTGGGTCTTACTATAACCCTACAGGGTCTTGGAGCAAGGTGTCTAGAGGGCCAGATGAGTCCACTCCATTCCTTTGAGGTTGAGGCTCATCATACTATCCTCTGAGTCTCCTACTCAACCACTTTGCATCTCCAGGAGGAGATTAGCTGAGCTAGCTGACCCAACCCCATAGCCAAGCTCACTGCCTGGCCAGAGAATTCCTTTCAGGCCGGAAATTCCTAGGGCCATGAAGGGCTCTCCAGGGCCAAGCTAGGCCTGAGCTGGCCAGGTGGTTCTCACACGTCACACTCTTACTTTGTCCAGGGTCTGTTGCTAACTGGTGCCTAGACTAGCCCTTTGAGTAGAGCAGTTCAGGTCAGCAGGCCTGGAACCCCAGTTTTCAGCTGTGCCTGTTCTACTTCCCAGGCTCCAGGCTGGACCTTTTGGGCATTTTCCCTTCTGGTCCCCAGCCTGGCATCTAGACCTGACAGTGGCCACCACATTCTCTGGGCAAGAACTTCTGCACAGACCGTGCCTCTTTCAGAAGATCCTCATGCCGTCCCCTCTTGGATCAATGTTTAGTTTGACTTGGCTGGAGCTGTATGGGTTTTTCAGAGGTATGGGCATTGCTGCCCTGGTTGTAGAGTTACGGAGAGACCAAAAGCTGGTTTAGCTTCCTCCATGACCTGGGGCCTTCAAGTTGTGAACAGATCCCCTGACTCCAATGTTTGGTCTCTGTTTCCTATCAGAGGAGCAAGGCCAAATCCACCTTCAATTTACTTGTGCTCACTTGCCTCCAACCACCAAGATCCAGTCTGTTTTGGCCTTTCTTCGATCCTTTGGATTCCTGAAAGAGCCAGCCTGGGTGGGTTGGTCAGTCAAGCTCTGTTGGAAGTTCAGTCATGGCCATTAGGCCCCAGCCTCTACCCATAACTGACTCCCCCGCAACTATCCTCAAGCAGAGTGTGGGGAAGTGATGCCCCCATTGCCCCTGAGCTTCAAGTCCTTAGTTTCCTCACTGACTGAATAGGGTGGATGGCTGTCCAGGTAGAACAAAGGGGGCTGTGTTTCCTGAGTTAAATATAGATTCAAGGTAGCCATATCATGGCCCAAATTCCCAGAATTCTAGTGGCTGGACTTTATCCTGAGGGCAGGGTCCTTATGTGGGTCTCTGTAACAAGCCTGGGAGCCCAACCTCACAGTAGGGTACAGTGGAACCTAGGTGGGGGCAGGGCTAGCAGGGTACTGTTTGCTTTAGGATAAGGCCGGCTCCTCCAGCCAGCCTGTCGCCAGCCTGTCCCCCAGCAGTATGTGCAGGCAGGCCCCAAGGGCCAAGCTTCCGGCCATCTGGTGATCACTTAAGCCCTGTCCCTCAGCAGTGGTCATGGCAGGGCTCCTGCCTCTGGGTACCCCTTTTTCTAGGCTTTGCTTCTTCTGTCTGAGGCTAGGAGGGGGGAAGGCACAGTGAGGCTTGGTTTCTCTGGAGGTCTTCCTATGTGGTGTAGGGTGATAGATTAGCCTGGTCATTGGGCATTCCCCAGGTATGCCTCCTAACACCCACAGGCAGCTGAACATATGTGTATATGCTTGCATATATGGGTCTATCTGGGCGATCCCGGATACCAGGCTGGTTGGGACCATGAAACCAGGCAGGTCTTTGGCCAGTTTCTCATTGACCTGACGTGTGGGAGGCACTGTGGATGGTGGGATTTCAGACAGTGACATCTGGTGGGAATGGGGCTGAGATCCAAGAAGACCTATGTGCCCAGCAGCCTCTAACACTCTAAGCTGGATGCAGGAGGAGAGCCTTGAGACAGCTATACTTGCATTGCCCTACTGCCTTAGGTGGTCTGTGGACAGCACAGGTTATGGGAGAGGTGGGCTGACAGCCATCTTTTCCTTTCCAGAGGCAGCCATGAAGGAAGGTGAGGAAGAGGGCTGGTGTTGAGATCTCAGTTGGTAGCAACTTCAGGCCCAGGGCAGGGATGAGGAGAACTGAGTGGAAGGGGAGATGGAACTTGGAGAAGAGGGTCTCAGAAAAATTGGGAAGGGTTTGTGACATGTGGATGTAAGTGAAAGCAGAGGTGTGGGAGGGCATTCCTCCATGGCTCCTTACCCCACTGAGCAGGAATTTGGCCTTGGAGTTTCCCTGGGAGACCTGGTCCCTTCCCCTTGGGCTGACTATTCTTCTGCCTCCTTAGAACCCACCCTTAGTACTTCAGGATGGGCCCTGAGAGGTAGGTGCACCATAGGATGTTGGAAAGCTGCTTCTGGGAGTCTGAAGACATCCCCAGAAGCTCGTCTGGGCTGAAGGGGGCCACATAGCTAGGGCAGCTGCATGCTGAGGAAGTACCCCATGCCCTGTGCTGCATCATTGCTGAGCTTTTACAGACTGCCTGTTGGCACCATTGTGCTCAGCTGACCTTGTGTTCTCTGCCCAGGACCGTCCTTGCTAGAACTGGTTGATGTGCAGGGTAGATGCCTCTCACTAACAGAGTAGAGATGTGACATGAGGGTGGGCTGGGGACTGTGGATGCCTCTCTTTATTCAGAGGTGACACTGGAGCAGTTCCCGCTAGCTCATCCTCTGTCGTGAGAGCACTTTTCCTGCAGCCCCACACCTGGCACCTATGGGCTCTGTGCACTCTGCACTCATCCTTCCAGCCAGGTGGTCTCTTCTGCCTGCTACACCCAGTTACACTCCTGTCCCTGCACTACAACCCAGAGATACTCTGATAGTTGGGGCTGAGGAGAAGGATGCTTGGTGTGGGTTGGTGAGGTTGAGAATGTGTTTCTGGTGACTAGAGTTGTGGGTCCCAGGGATTGGCCTTTTCTAGGATGATGGTCTTGACTTAGGGAACTTGCACCTCTACTATGGGTCTCTCCTGTGAATATCCTGTTGGGAGTTGTCTCTGAAGGCCAGACTACTTCCCAGGTATGACCTAGGGGCCATCACACACATGGACAAAACCCACTGGGTTCTTCTTTATGAAGTAGGTTCCCTGAATGGAATCCAGGTAAGGTACTGAGTGCCTGTGCCCAGCCCTTGCTTACCCTGTGTATCCCAGGCAACCCTCTAAGCAGACTGTCCATGAATTAGATACAGAGCACAGAAGCAGGACAACCAGTTCATACATGGTGCACACTCATGTGTCCCTCACTCGTGAGCATATGAGTGCTATTTATTCTGGGTAGCTGCTCCTGCTGACCCATTTCCATCTGAGTTAGGTTTAAGGTGGCTGTCCTTTGCACAATGTGCCGCAGGAACATAAGATAGCTTATGAAGCTGTGTGTGCAGAAAAAGAAACTAGCCAAAAGCCCATCCTGCTGTCCTGTTCCTGTGGTTCCCTCCTTTCTGACAATGGAACATGTAGTTCTCTCTGGTGAGACAAAGGGATGGCCTTGTTTTCTTGATTTGAAGTTTTGAAAGTATTATTGACTTAGGCAGTGTCCTGAGTGCTCTGGCCTCTCCATCTCACTTCTCGGGGAGGCTGCCTGCTATGATGGTGCACTAGCAAGGTGCTTGGGACTGACACAGTGGGGTATGTTGGGCATGGACTACTGTGGTTGGACAAAAGACTTCCTTAGTAGGATTCAGGTGGGATTCCTAGCACGTGTGTCAAGCCTTTGCTCCCCTCATGTGTTTCCCCAACCAAGCTCTCTAACTCCTGCAGGACCCCCAAGAATGGCAGACAAGGTGGTCCCACGGCAGGTGGCCCGCCTGGGCCGCACTGTTCGGCTGCAGTGCCCAGTGGAGGGGGACCCACCACCCTTGACCATGTGGACCAAAGATGGCCGCACAATCCACAGTGGCTGGAGTCGCTTCCGTGTGCTGCCCCAAGGGCTGAAGGTGAAGGAGGTGGAGGCCGAGGATGCGGGTGTTTATGTGTGCAAGGCCACCAACGGCTTTGGCAGTCTCAGCGTCAACTACACTCTCATCATTATGGGTCAGTTGGTGCGCGAGTCAGAGGTTATAGTGGGACCACTACTGGCTGAGCACAAGGTGTACAGCAGACACACCTGGATTCTTCCATCCTGTTTGTTCAGCCTGCACCAAATCCACCTAGACATAGACAGGACCCAGGAGGTGCTCCCTATCCCCATTCCCAGCCTGGGCCCTAGGGCAGCCTAGGCCTCCTGCCTTAGGCTTTTCCTTCCAGGTGGCAGAAATGGATAGGGTGTGGGGAGGGGAGGCTCAGGCAGTGGTTCCACTCAAGAGCTGCTGGGTGGGGTAGGGTGGAGTGGGCTGAGGACTTGGCAGGGCAAGCCTTGGCAGCCATGACTTTGAGGCTCAGATTTCAGAGTTCAGAGGGGCCGCAAACAGTGAATGGCCTCTGTTCTCTTCTGTCCTTGGTGCCCGGTCAGTAGGGAATGGGCAGGTGTCTTTGGTGACACACCCTTCATACATGGGTAGCAGGCATTGCCCACCTTCTTCACTGGGCTCCCTAGTGTGTGGCTCTGGGCCAGGATGACTCTCCTACTGTGGAGGTCTAAGGTAAGCCTGGGACAGCCTTGTCCTTGGTCCCACGCTGTATGGAAGAGGCGGCTGTCATAGAGCAGCAAGGGGACATTCCTTATCACACCCTGCCCCCCCCCCCACATCGCTGCCTAGTACAGGCCCCAAGGCCTTCTCAGGGTTTGGAATGGGAATATTGCGGCTGTCCACCCTCCCTACCCCCATCCTTTCAAAGAGGATGATGACCAGGCGGTATGTAAGCCATGTCTCTGCACCAAGCACTCGGCCCCTTGATGTGGGCTAGGGTTACTGCAGCTGCTGGCTGGGCCTGGCCCCCTCCTCCCAGGCCCTGCAGACCCCCCGGAGCCAGGGTGGGGGGCGGGTCTCTAGTCCCACCATGCCTATCAGGGTCACCTGCACCCAGGGAGGGGGCTGGCAGGCAGCCATGGCCCAGCTGTCCCTGAATCCTGACATGTGGGTGTGTCCATGGCCTTTGCTTGGGTTCTAGGGCTGTCTCAGCCTAGGCCATGCTGGGCACTGGTGAGGGACTCCCCTGTACGCCTGACGTGGCTTCCTTATGACATGTTTCTCAACAGATGATGTCAGTCCAAGGAAGGAGAGCCCTGGGCCAGGTGGCTCTTCTGGGGGCCAGGAGGATCCAGCCAGCCATCAGTGGGGTATGTATGGGGTAGGGAGATTCTGTGTGTTTGGAATAGGAAAGTGACCATTCTCCTGGCATCCTCACATACTCTTTCCCACTGACCTTGATGCTGCCCTGCCCCACAGCACGGCCTCGCTTCACGCAGCCCTCCAAGATGAGGCGCCGAGTGATTGCAAGGCCTGTAGGTAGCTCTGTGCGGCTCAAGTGTGTGGCCAGTGGGCACCCACGGCCAGACATCATGTGGATGAAGGATGACCAGACCTTGACACGCCCAGAGGCCAGTGAACACAGGAAGAAGAAGTGGACGCTGAGCTTGAAGAACCTGAGGCCTGAAGACAGTGGCAAGTACACGTGCCGTGTATCCAACCGGGCAGGTGCCATCAATGCCACCTACAAAGTGGATGTAATCCGTGAGTGGTGGGTCTGGGGTAGGATGAGGGCCTGTGGTGCCTAGAACTCCGCTGACATGTTTGTTTGTCCCTGCCATAGAGCGGACCCGCTCCAAACCTGTGCTCACAGGGACGCACCCTGTGAACACGACAGTGGACTTTGGTGGGACAACATCTTTCCAGTGCAAAGTTCGCAGTGATGTGAAGCCTGTGATCCAGTGGCTGAAGCGGGTGGAGTACGGCTCCGAGGGCCGCCACAACTCCACTATTGATGTCGGTGGCCAGAAGTTTGTGGTGTTGCCCACTGGTGACGTGTGGTCACGGCCTGATGGCTCCTACCTCAACAAACTGCTCATCTCTCGGGCCCGCCAGGATGATGCTGGCATGTACATCTGCCTGGGTGCGAACACCATGGGCTACAGCTTCCGTAGCGCCTTCCTCACTGTGTTACCAGGTGTGTGTCACTGGTCTGGGCTGTCCTTTCCCCTTCCCTGTGGGAGTCCAGGGGCTATCCGTGTAGTTCAAACTTGGGCTGGTTGTCTCATTAGTGTAATGACATTCCCTTCCCTACTCCTCTCCTTGATCTCTCTTGCAGACCCCAAACCTCCAGGGCCTCCTGTGGCTCCTTCATCCTCAACCACAAGCCTTCCTTGGCCTGTGGTGATCGGTATCCCGGCTGGTGCTGTTTTTATCCTGGGTACTGTGCTGCTCTGGCTTTGCCAGGCCAAGAAGAAGCCATGTGCTCCTGCATCTACGCTCCCTCTGCCTGGTCATCGTCCCCCAGGGACGTCCCGAGACCGCAGTGGGGACAAAGACTTGTCCTCCTTAGCTGTGGGCCTGTGTGAGGAACATGGATCCACCGTGGCTCCCCAGCACATCCTGGCCTCTGGCTCAACTGCCGGCCCCAAGCTGTACTCCAAGCTGTACACAGATGTGCACACACATACGCACACACACACATGTACACACACTCTCTCATGTGGAGGGCAGGGTTCACCAGCACCAGCATGTCCACTATCAGTGCTAAATGCAGCAAATCTCCAAGCATTGTGCCCTGAGGTAGGCATATGGGGGCCAAGGCAACAGGTTGGGAGGATTGAAAGCAATGGAGGAAGAGTATCCTAGGACCCTGTATTTGGCACTCATGAATTTGGCCAAATAGATGTATGTACTGCCAAATGAACGTATACGCAGACAGCCAAACCCACAAACAGAATTTACAAATGCAAATGTGTGTTCGTTCGCACGCACGACCTGAGAAGCCTTCAGGAGGATTTGTCGTGTGACTTTGCAGTGTCATGTAGCGATGGCTAGTTGAAGGAATCTCCTCAAGTCTTAGTGGTCACGGCCACTCCCCCACCCCTGCCCACCTGTGTCCCTGCCTGGCCATATATGCTGGGTGTCCAGGAGTCTACCAGCCACCTGGATTTGGTGAGCAGTGCGACTGTGCCTGGAGGTTTGAGCCACCCTCCCCTTGCTAGAGAGAAGGGTCTCAATATTTATATTTAAGAAGTAAAATAATATTAATAATGATGTAAGGAGGGCTGGGACACAGGAACTCTGGCCTACCCTGGGGCCCAGGACCTGCCTGACCTTGTGGTTACATTGGGTATCCTCACGTCCATGGCTACCTGGCCTCTGTAATTTTATATAGAGTTTGGGCTGAAGCCTCGTATATTTAATTTATTTTGTTAAACAAGAAAGTGCCTCCTTTTTCTCATTCTGGTGTTTTTACCTGGGGTTGGTCTATGTGTTTTGCCAGCAATCATGTACATATGCTCACTTTGGTGTCTACTTACATATCTTCACTGGTGTGCACGTGCACAAACGTGTTAGCTTGCATGTATTCACATGCTGATGCTGTGTTTGTGTGTCTTCCCTGTAGGGAAGCTCCTACTTTGCCTTTCTCAGGCCCAGGCTTGGGATTTCCCAGGGTTTGTCTTCTGTGGGACCTTGGATTTCTGAGCCTCGTGGTGTACCAAGAGTGGCTGCAGCAGGTGGCGTGAAGTGAGTCCTGCTCAGAGTGGCGATCTACACATCTGGCTGAGTGCTATCACCTCTGTTCTGTGCATGCCCTTGCCCTTAGTGGGGAACCTACTTTTTGTTGTTCTATTTTCTGTGACCTTAGCAGGAAAGCTGCTTAGAGCTGGGGTAGGGCCAGGCCCAGATCACAGCAACTTCTGTTCTTGGGACTCCAGTTGAGTGACCTCCCAGGTTCTCCTGTGGTGATATGTACGGCAGTTCTTTTTTGTTGTTTTTTTCGAGACTGGGTTTCTCCTCTCTGTTATAGCTCTGGCTATCCTGGAACTTGCTTTGTAGATTAGGTTGTCCTCAGACTCACAAAGATCCTACTGCCTCCCAAGTGCTGGGATTAAAGGCATGCACTACCATACCCAGTGGCAGCTGTTCTTTAAGTCAGGAAAACAGAGGCTCTGATTCACCTAGTCATTTTGGAAGCTGGGATGTCTGTCTATCCCAGGTTCAAAGCTCCCTAAAGCACAGAGGACTGGGCATATATCTCAGTAGTAGAGTGCTTGTCTAATACGTGGGAAGTCAGGTTAGTCTGTAGTATCATGCACTCTCACATGAAGATCCTGCATGCACAAACCAGCAATATACCGGTAAAAGGTTCTTGCTATGGTTCTAAGAGCTTCTCCCTGAGAGTAGTCACCTTTCCTAGCCTCTATAGATAACAAGTGACTCCTTAGTTTCACCTAGGAATCTTTCCATGTGGACCCCTCAGGAGTAGTGTTAATTACTCTGGACATTTCTTGTAGGACCCCTCATATAGGATAACTCCTGGCCTTTGACCTCAGAGGGTAGCTGTACTGGCGTGGACCTGCCTGGTAATGATGGCCATCTCTGACTGCCAGATGCTGGGAAGGCCCAGATGCATGTTCAGGGCACCTGGGGCTCCAAGTCTATAGCTGGTGATAGACAGATGTTCCCTAGACAGGACGGCTCCGCACTTGGTCTAGTTTGTCTGAAGTATGGAAGGGTTGGGAAGGGGGAGAACTCAGGCAGTGGGCCATCTGTGCCATACAGATGCACTGCTCCAGAGAACAGGTAGAGAGGAGGCACCCTGAGGGAGAAGAGACCAAGATCTTGAGCCCTTATCCTTGGCCTAGGGTCAGGAACCAACCAATGAGGAGTGAGAGCACCCTCTCACCCTGGCTGCCTCATAGGCAAGGTCTTCCTGGGGAGAGCAGGTGGTGAGTGATAGCCTGGGAAAGGGCTCCAAGGTAGATAAGACAACCTACCCTGCCCCCAACAGTGTTCCAGGATACCCCTAACTGATGGCCCTGTAATTCAGAGCTTCTTGTCTACTGCAGACCTATGTGGCTGTCTTGGCTCCCATGCAGCACCTGTGAGCCCATGTCCCCAGCCCCAAGGCCTTGCTGTTCCTGTTCCATCCCAGCTCAGCTCTGGCAAAACTTCATGTGGATGCAGTTGGCTCATCCCTGTAGAGGTGCATGCTCTTTACTCCACTCTGTGCCCCATTTGTTTTAACATTTTCAGAGAGGAGCTCATTGTCTTGCCCACGTGTCCAGGGGGCTGCTGTGCCGCACGGGTGGGACTAAATGGCGTATGTGCCTCTGAGGGCAGCTGCTAGTGTCCAAAAGATGGTGCTTTAGGTCTTGGCCATACCTCTTCCCAGGGCCTGTGTTACCTAGACTCTTCCTACTGCCTAGGTTTAGAGGGAATGGATATGTGTTGAGTATGGTGTACTGCTGAAAGCTGGGGGCAAAATCCTTGTGGAAATGATAGACTGTGGGTCTTGGAAGAAGGGAGGAGCCTGAAATAGCTCTCCCCGACCTGCTGAAACCCCTCACGTGGACAAGTGCACATGTCCCTAGCTTTCCCTACTTAGAGGTCAAGAGGGGATACTGCTGTCCTTGGGTTGACCCACAGGCCAGGACAGGCACAGTGACTTCTGATTAGAAGCTGTGTAGGAGGAGACTCAGTGTCCTGGTTGAGGCTCAGTGAGTGGTGAGTGCGTGATGGATGCTGTAGGGAGCCATGCCTGAGCCTTCACCTCACCCATCTAGGCAGTGATAAGCTGGTTCACTGGGAAAGTCGGCACACTTGAAAGGTTGGCCCAGACTGACACCCTTGGGTGTGACACCCCTCCCTCCTTCAGCTTCAAAGGATGTCCATGAGCTGTCCTGCAGCTGTCCCTGGGGGCAGGGAGGGGCTAAGGCTAATGCCCAGGGTAGCTTGGTAGTACAAAGGAGAGGGACACGGGCTGCCCCACCCTGCAGTCAGAGGACCTGGCTAGAGATCAGAGCCTTGTTCCAGGACTGGGACATGGCCACAAAGGACCTGTGACATAGAAGGGAGGCAGAGGGTAGAGATACCTCCACAGCACAGACTCAGCCAGGATACCAGGCAGAGTGCAGAAGAGTTGCCCTGATCTCTCAGACATCACAAGGCTGGGCCATATGTAGCCAGGCTGGTCTTCAGGCATCAGAAATAGTGTGGTGACCTGGGCTGTAGGGGTGTGGGGCACAGCTCCCCCCACAGCTGATGGTAACATACCATGAAAAGTGCTTCTTGTATCCTAGTAGAATAAGGGTCTCAGCCCAACTTTGTGGTGCAGAACTGTGGTTATTAAGGCTCGGAGGGCTTGGCAGAACACTTCTGAGATTTGTTTGTAGGGGGCTGGGATGCAGGGTGGCAGCCAGAGTCTCTCTCAGCTACCTGAAGACACAGGTGTGTTTCTGTAGCACTCTGCAGCCCCAGAGCTGATGGCTTATATTGTGGGCTCACAAGTCTCTTTCTGAGGAGATTTTTGCAAAGGCATTCTTGCCTCAGGGGCTAACCAAGTACCTGACTGATCATTTGATTGCTCTGTTGCCTAAGCCAGCATCCAGGTACCCTGTGTTGAGCTTGGGCAGGATAGCCATCCTTGGTGGTCAGGGTTCCTCAGAAAAAGAGTGGGAGGTCCCTGAGAGGGACTACTGTGACAGCAACTCCAGCCTGCATAGGAGCCCCCTTGATCTAAATAGAAGGGGTCTCCAGTAGAGCTGTAGCTGGGGTCTGTGAAGCAGAAGTGGATGCTAATCCCAGTTCTGTACCCTTTGACTAGCCTGAGACCTAGGCTGTACATTGTACAATTCCCACTTGGAGATAAGTGTCCCTTCACTGGGGCATCCTGGTAAGCCTGCAGATCACCCCGAGGGCTCTCAAGAACCATTGAAACACGGCCAAAACCCATGTGGAACCTTGTATGGCCTCACCTCATCCCATGGTGGGCTAAAGCTCTCTTCCTGTTCCATATGTGGACCAAACCCCAGTTCTTCATCCTTCCCACCAGTGTTTACCCAAGCAAGGTCGCCTGACCTTGCTTAGGTTCTCAGTTGTCCTGTCTCTTTGCCTTCTCTGGTCGCTGTAAATCACTGGCTTTTCATAGGGGTCCGGTTCCATGGGGCTCCCCCAACATGGTCCCACCCACCAGGGCTCAGGTGGCCGTCCATGTCCTCCCATCATGCCCCATCTGGTGTATCAAAAGCCTCCATGAGCCTCCTTCATCCTCACCTGGGCCCAGAGCCTCTCTGGCCAGCTGATGAGGAGAGGAGAAACCTGGTACTCATGAAACCCACCAAAAGTAGCAGACTACTGCTTGCCTCCCAGGCATTGTTGGGTGGTGGACTCGTCAGGTAACTCTCTCTATACCTGAATTGGAGGCTGCCTGTGCTTGATGTCCAGGGTTACTTCTCTGGCCCCATAATTCTCAGCTAGGACCAGGCCCAGGGGCCTAAGGTAAGGTAAAGAGAGTACCCTGTGCCCACTAGGAATTGGGGTTCCAAAGGTCCTCTGAAGACTGGGAGTTGTGGAACCCTAGTTCTTCCTGGGACCTTACTGATAAGAGGGCTGAGCAAGTTCCTGATGGTTTTTGTTGTTGTTGTTGTCAATGGAAAGCCTTCAGGAGGCTCCTGACCAGACGACTTAACACCTCCTCATGGTGCACACAGGCAACTTTACCCTGTGACCTTTTAGACTGCCTACAGTCCCAGTGCTGCTGGGTTTGGATACTGGCCCTGTCACTTGCCTAGAGGATGGGAGAGGGCCCTCGAGGCCCCAGGCGGCCCAGGAATGTAGGATGGGCACTGGGAGAGACATAGGCAGGTGATCCTGTTCTCTATTGGATGAGCCAACCATTTTCTTCAGGCAAGGCGTTTCCTTTAGAGATCTCTACTCTGGAGTTTGTCTGGTGTGGAACAAGGTAGCACATTACACTAGGCTCAGAGGCCAGCACAGAAGCCTAAGAATTGTAGCCCTGGGTGATCCAGGATCCCCTGTGTGTTGAGAACACTCTGATCTGCAGTTAGAGCTCCTGTCCCACCCCCATAGCTCCTCCCCTTGCTGCTCATCTCCGGGGAGACTGACAGATGACCCCATCAACTGCCTTAATCTGCCCAGGTGAACACTGGGTGAGCTTTTGGTGGGAAAAGTAAGATGACCACCAGTATCTCCATGTTTCCCTGCCTAGGGAGGCCTAATATCCAGAAATGAGATCTCAGCCTAGGCCAGCAGTCGCCTTAAGTATGAGTAGTGAGAGGGGCCTGAGGCTCTCATGTCCCAAAGCAGCTGCCCCCATAGCTCCCACTCTTTGCTGCAGCAGCCCTCAGGCATGTGGCCTTGGGCCATCAGGTGGTGACAGCTGCCAACAGCTGGCAAAAGAGGCAGTAGGACGTCTGAGTTTTAGGGCTGTGTTCTGGCTGGGCTGGAGCTCCCTTCAGCTGCATGGGAGCTAGTGAATTACATGCAGGGACTTGAATATCTCTGAAACATTTCTCCCTCCCCATACAAGGTTAGCATATAGAGCTTCTGCTAACAGGGCCCATAAGGAAAATCGTAGCAGCAGTGCTAGGGTTGAGGACTTCGTGAGGC